GTTCTTCCAGGGATGCTATGGATTATATTCAAGTATCTGTTTCCACTATTATAATCATTATGCTCTCTATACCCATTTCTTACCAGGGCCTAGGAACATCTAAGTGTGCATCTTTATAGTCAGCTGAATAAATAACCATAATATTATAGGGATTACTGTGGAAAACTACATATTTTTTATATTCTAAAGAGTTTACAATTTATCTTTTTTTTTTTTTTTTAACCTTTCCTAGTGTTCTGTGAAGGTACAGCTGTATGGGTTGCCTTGAGGGACTATCTGATCGAACTTTGACTCTTGGCAAATGATTTGAATAGCTGGCCATGCTGTTCTTTGAGAAATAATCATTAGACTAATTTTCCTGAATTTGCAACATGTACTTTGCAACATGTACTTTGCTTAATATGAACTCATTATCAGTACAATTTCAAATCCACATCAATATTTCTCACATTGTACAATTTTATAATGAAAATATAACTTCTCTTCAAACACTTTTTCTCAATTGATAGTAGAGTTAAGCTAGCCAGACTGGAGATGACTTGATAAAAATTGTAGAACTTTCAGAAACAAGCTTCCTGCTAGAGTTTTATTTAGCTAAATAGCAAGACTAAAGAGAACAGAGGTGCTTGTTGCATACCTTCATCCTGGACTGGGAATGACCGAAGAGACATGTGAACCACATTATACGGAATGAAATCCCAGCCCCATCCCTTTACTCTAGATAGTGCAGTGGTGTCAAACCTATGGCACGCATGCCAGAGGCAGCACTCAGAGCCCTGTCTGTGGGCACGTGCGCCATGCTCCGGAAATGGCAACTGTCCCTCTTCAACGAACCGCCCACTAACTCACTGAGGTCCCACATGGCTGGATGCATCCCAGCACCCATGCGCTCGCTGGCCTCTGTGTGCAGGGGCTGATAGTGTCAGGCAGCAGCCGCCCCGGCCCCTGACTCGCCTTGCCCTGTGACAATGGCACCCCCGCCCTGCCTCCCCTTGCCTTGTGAGCCTCCTGCCCCTGCCCCAACTGCCAGAGATCCCCCTGGATCTCCCCCAACCCTGCCCGGCCCCCACAGGCGTTCCTCCCCACGAGCAACATTGAGCTGGCCACGCCCACCCTGGCCACACCCACTCAATCTGCCATGACCACCACAGCCATGCCCACCCGGTGGGCCACGCCCACCTGGCACCCAGCAATAAATAAGTGGGTTTTGGGTTGCAGTTTGGGCACTAGGTCTCTAAAAGGTTCTCCATCACTGGGATAGTGTGTTCAAGAATATGACAAATGACCATAGAAATATATGCCTAGTATACCTTGAATTGATAACAACTGATAACAACTGGGAAGCTTAAGCAGAGGGTTTTTTTGATGTAGCTTGTATGTGAATGTGTGTGTGTATGTGTCTCTCTGTGTGTTTCTGTGTGCATGTATAATCTAAATGCATAAATATGTTCATGATAACCTGTATAATCCAATCAACATATATTTTTAGATAGTATTCATTTTAGGGGGGAAATAAGCATATTTTCAGGTTGCTACTATAGATGTTAACAAACTTATCAGGTCCTAATTTCCTAGTTTTTAACTTTAATGTAAAAGCAAAATCAACATAAATCACAAAAATTTTAATATATTGGAGAAATATCAGTATTACTGTTGAGGACACAATCCATCCAATTGTGATTAAATCCATCACAATTAACTCAAGCCTTGGTTTATAACACAAGATTTTAAGTCTCACATTATTTCATATGGAATTGATCTTTTCCACTTGTTTTTCAGAATAATTCCTGCAAGAGTCATGACAACAAGTGCAAGGACGGCAGCAGCAACAATGTAAGGTACATGGGAGTCAGGAGTTGCCAAATTTTCCTGGGCTTCCTGCTTTGCTTCTGCAAAAAACAAAAAAAAAAATGATGTTACCTCATCTACTTGAACTGTGATCGAAAAGCATCCTAGAAATTAGTGATCAATTAATCATAAGCCAATATGCATATAACCTGACTGAACATTATTTATCAGGAATAAGGAATACTGCAGAACAGGCAGCATGAATCAGGACTGTGGTTATAACAGTAATTTCAAATTATATCTTGCTTTCCAGCAATTCTCCCAATTTTTCATGCTACTTGCACTATCATCTTGAAAGAACTGAGCGGCACTGATTATTTTTAGAACCATTAAAGAAATTTTGCTTCAGTTTACCAAAGTTTCTGTTCTGAACACCATCCTTCAGAACTTCGATGGGGCCAATAATGACATCTAGGTTCTCCTGATAGGAGCCTATATCTCTCTTGGATCTGAGCAGACAGCCTCGATTACATCTTGAGTTATAGTCATAGGATCTGCAAACCACCNCACTGCAGGTAAACTGCTGGATGTCTGCCCATGAAGGCAAAGGCTTGGAAAGAAAAGCGAAGAGTGTTTCTGTATGGGGCGTAGTGAGTCTGATAAGTAGACTCTTTAACACACCTGCAGAGAAACAAAATAAAGGAAGATTTATTGGTATTAATTAATATGCCAGTACTTGCATTTATTATATTCTAATTTACAAAATGTTCACATTAAAATAATCTAGATGCAATGAATGTTCTGTGTATGGAAGTAAAACAAAAACAGCATCCTGTACAATGCTGAAACAAAAGATACATCCGGTTGAAGTCATTGAGAAAAATCTTAAAAACATCTGAATATGAAATATAGCACTTTATTTGAGTTCCAACATTGGTATCTATGGAAAGGGAAGTCTAAACAAGCAAGAGTGTTATTGTGGCTTTAATGCACTACAAAAGGGTCTTCACTACAAAAGGGTCTTGCCTCTTTTGACATCCCCTCCCCCTTTCCTAGATGCCATTAGTTCCAATAAACGCCTCCTATATTTCAGACAATATTTCTGATTTCTCACAATGGAATTGTTAATATTCAAAAATGCTGAACATGCTTTGGCAACACAAAAAAACAATAAAACCACCGCTGCAAATGTCATCCAATTAAATGAATTTGTATTCTTTCAGGCCAGAACTTTCAAACTACATAAATCAATGTATGGGAATCATTAGTTACAATATGTTCTAGTGGCTGCTGTCTTTAATGACATTAGCAAGTAGTACAGACATTCATGGAAAATCAATGCCAGGTCAGAAGAGGTAAACCTTAACTTTTGATGAAAAAGACTATCCAAACTACTTGCCAAATGATTTGTCAATACACATATATTCTGATTCAGAATTATTTACCAGGAACAAGGAACACTGCAGGGGCTTGGTTTCAGAGCAATGAATAAAACGTTCACATGCAACCCATGTCATTGAAATCTCTTCTGATTTTAATCTCAAGGAAATAAATATATTGCCTTAATTAAATTCTTCAAGGTCAAAATCCACAGATGGCCCTTTGGCTACATGCTACAGACTGCACTCCAAAATGTAGTGGGTGAGGAAAGCCAGAGTTACATTTGATTTGATTTAACTGACACATATGTTTGATGTAAATAAATCCCTTATTTAAGAATTTTCCTTCTGTGGCATTAAAAATGACAGTCTAATAACAATCTGTGATGGTCTATGGGGAAAAAATATAAAATTCAAGAGTCATCTATTATTTTGAGGGTCTTGGGTTGCATATTCCTGGTTTAAATGTAGCTACTGGTTACATAAGGCAGAAGGAAATCAAAAGCAGATAGGGAATGAAAGAAAGAAAGAGAGAGGGAGGGAGGGAGGGAGGGAGGGAGGGAGGGAGGGAGGGAGAGAGAGAGAGAGAGAGAGAGAGAGAGAGAGAGAGAGAGAGAGAGAGAGAGAGAGAGAGAGAGAGAGAGAGAGAGAGAAGTGAACAAATGAGAATGTATGCTATCTGGATCTCTCTTATCAAAAGGCCAGAACTTTCTAGAATACTGCAACTCAGGGTATAATTAGCATGGACAGTCCCAATGAAAGGGCCTCTGGTTATATCAGTTTTAAACCTTTGCCTTTTGTATATATAACGGTAGCAGAGTAAAGATAGAATGTAGGAGATTAAGCGATCTGTATCATGAAGGAAGTAAGCGGGTAGATGGGAATGATGTAATCAACACTTTTGTGGATTACCACATTCAAACCCATAGCAAATGTGAATCCTCTGCAGAAAATTTGATACAAATTAGGAATTCTATATGGGGTGAGAGAAAATTTCTACAGTGACAATGATCCTGAGATTCCAAATGTATTACAATAGGTTTCCTGTTAGATATGGTCTAGTATAATAGTGCAACTTTTCTAGAACTTTTGGCCAGGCATAGTCTTATGTATTGAAGCATTTACTCCTAGAATTATGTTACATGCAAACTCCAAAAGAGAGAGAGAGAATCATGTTGACATGAAAACACAACTGAAATGGGATTGTGAATATTGTTTCTGGTGTGATCTACCTAGAGGGATTGGCCATATTTTAACTATCAAACTATCAAATGCTACATAAATGTTTGGAAAACTAAAAGCAATCAAAATTAATTTCCCCATAAAACCAAATAGCCTGCAAGAGGATGAAGTACTTACCCATTCTTGATAATGTCGTAAGTTAGATTTGTAAAATCATTGTAATAGGGTGATGCTGTACAAGTATCCAAAAACAGCTGCAAGTTGGAATCGGAACTATAGAGATAAGTTTGCAAATATAACCTTTGATTTAATACGACATAATAAGGTACATCATTCACTGGTTTCCAGAAGGATGAGTCATAAAATGTAAGGTTCACACTATATAGGCCATATTGTGTTTCATTAATCTCTTTTGTTTGCCGAGCGATGTATACTGTCTCTATCCAAGTGTGATGAAGCATCTTGCAGTTGACATGCACGAGAAGATCTGGTATTCTTCTTATAAAGTCTTGTGCAGGTGCAATTACTGAGATCTCATTTGAATATGTAATAGTATCAGCATCAACCTGTTTGAAACATGAAACAATTAATATAAGATCCTTTTTATCTGGACCAATCATGTTAGAGATGCTATAAAAATATTGATTTGTGTCAATAGATGTCGGTCAGAATATAGGCATTCCCATATTCAAAACGTCCATGAAAAATTAACCTACACTGAGGGTATAGCTTTAGAAAGAAACCTAAGAAAATAGAGAAATGATTGGCTACAGATTAGAAAATCGGTCCTATCAGTCACTGTGCTTTGAGCTCCTGTTATTTGTCACAAACACATTTCAATTTGGAGCATTGTCCTAAATAAATCCTTGAATGATTGAATGCTCCCTACTTCTGCTTTAAGGAAAAATGAAAGAATTAATGAACGAGTGAGCCATGCAGCAAAAACATTCTAATAAGTCTCCATACATCTCTTCTGGTCCGACATCCATTATATGGTATGTTGAAAATAACATAATATGGTGTTATCTTTGGTCTGCAGTTTGGATCCATCAAGCTGACACTCCATGGATTATAGCCTTGAGAGTTCAGATAACTTCTACTAATTACAGCTTCCATGTAGGTTGGCAGACAAACAAGAGCTGTCAAAGAGAAAAAAGAAATCTTATTCCTGCATTGAGGTACTGTATATACAGTATGACAATAATTTATTATCATCCTTACAGTATGAATCTAACACCATCGGAGCACAAAATAAAAGTTTGCCTGCCGAATCATTTTACATATTCTTAACATTAATAAATATTAATATGCAACTTAATAACTTTTGCTTTAAACTGAAAGTATGCTGGAAAGATGCTTTCCAGGAAACCATGAAAAAAACAGTCTCTGGATCTTGACCACCATACATCACCCATGTCTACATCTGGATACTGAACTTTTGCTTGACTTCTTTTATATCTAACTCCATTCTTAAAAGTCTCTCAAAAACTGAAGGATAATTATATGTCCAAAATGCTTATTCTTTGAAGCACATACACTGAAATCTCAAGATAATCAATAATTTGATTAATTTGAATTGCAATATTTTTTCATGACACTATGATCGTAGTACAGCAAAAAACCTAAAAATCTGTGCTAAGGATCAACTTCTGAAATTTGGCTTGAAGTTAGATGGCAGATCACATGAAAATCAGATATTATTTACTCTAGAACAGGGGTGTCAAACTGCCGGCGCGTGGGCCGGATGCGTCACATGGAAGCCACGCCCACCCCATTGCCAGCAATGGCAAAACTGTCCCGATACGTTGCACAACATCATGTGATGTGAGTTTGACATGTCTGCTCTAGAATATAAATCATAGTTGTCTAGAACTACACAGTTCTTTATTCCAGGGATATTCACATGTTGTTCAACTATCCAATCTGTAGGTGTCATTGCCCATGCTTACACTGTAGGTATCTGGGTCAAAAATATTCTATCTTACAAACCTTCCATCAGGGTACACCAAAATGAAGAATTAAAAACTAAATAAATTGTGTCTCATTATGCCAAAACTGAATAAGATGTTAAGAATTATCATGAAATTCTAAACTAACATAATATTCAAAAGGTCAGTAAATGAAAAATTAATGGCAATTTTATACTTGTGTTTTGATCTGCAGAGATGCTGTAATAGTTTGCAAGGAAGCCTCTTCTTGTGACACTGCTATCAGTATGGAATTTAATCGTCATCATATTGGAACTTGATGTAAAAGTGTGATAGGAGCCATAACAAATTCTCCCAAGCGGTGAACCAGTATGGAGAGGCCCATCATAGATTTCAACATAATCACAACGGCATCTATCACATCCTTCTAGTCTGGAAAGCAAAACAGGAATATAGTCTTTACATGGATATTGTTCAGTTTGTAATTCATACATTTACTCTGATACTCCAAGATGGAGCTTTATTTTTTGTGTGTTAGGTAATAAAATTCTCTCAGAGATTAGTCCTAGTAAAAGGAGATGAAACAAAAATGATCATCAAACTTAGAATTTTCCAATTCATCTAAGTTAGCCATTTTCAATTCTCTTCAACTGGTGAATTGACCATTCATTAATTAATCAATTAATTGTGATAAGGATGCTGGCAGTGATAACGATGACAATTTATAAGAAACAATAATTTGGATAAAAATGTTAATGTGCTTGGTACAAAATTTGAATATATAGACTTTTTATTGTAATGTATAAAATTCCAGAAATTCTCCCCTCTTCCAGAAACTCATATTAACTATTTCATGAAGTTTCCCCTGTCATTTTTTCAGGACCTTTTGAGGCTTGAGAAATCCAAGACTGGATGTTGATTTAAGCCTTCGTCTCCTGTTCTCTTACCACATCCATTTTCAATATTTTTTATCAGCTGGTTTTGATTTATAGCCCAGTAAATATGAACTATTGAAATGATTCTCATATATTAATTGATTATTTTAACAGACTAAAACAAAAATTGATTGGTCCATTTAAACATTTCAAGCATTGCATCAAACTTTGGATGAGTTCCTCTTCATGTGTGGAACTGGACCTATTTCTCTATGTGTAAAAAAAGGTAAAGTTCTACCATGGCTTCACTAATTATCTCTAGCCAAATCTATTCTCTCAAGTTTACCATCTAATTGCATTTTGTAAAATGTGCCCTGAAATTTGAACTCATCTTGATTTATTTAATAAACCAATCTCGGTATCAAGATGCATGCATTAAAAACAGCTTTACTTACACAAAGTTTTGCAAGGTAAGTCTTATTTGGTAGTTGTTTTTAACTTGTATTTCCCATAGACAGTCCACATTGTTTGGATAATTAGAAGGATAATATGGACTTTTAAACGATCCGGATGGGTATCCAAGAAATCCACCACAAGAATGTCTTGACACTGTTACTAAAAAGAAATCAAAGAAAAAAAAACACAGGGCAATTAGTATCATGCAGGATTAGGATGCAGAGAACCACATTATAAAAAGACATCTACCATTGAGCTTTTCTTGAATCCAAATCCAAATGCTTTGATACTTTCCAGCTTTATGTTCTGAAGGAACCACAATGTCTAACTTTTAATCTGGAACATGAAAATCTTAAGGAGAAAGCCCAGAATTACTTGCTTTGTGAGATGTGGAGGTATATAAATTAGACAAACTAATAATGATGAATTAATTGTTAGGTTAGGTGAGGTAGAACTGAAATCCTACTCTCCAAATTCTTTGGATTAAGGATAATTTTGTTAGTAATGCTTTCTAAACAGTACTTATTAGTTCTTAGTTCTTATTAGAAATTAACAGTTATGTGGGTCTTGTTATTCCTATTCATCTACTAAGAAAAAAGGAGCAAATATTTATGATCCAAAATCAGCTTCTACTTATAAAAAGAGAAATGGAAGTCTAACCTTTCCTCATTTATTTCTTTTTCTTAACATAAGACTTAAAGCTAAGAACTTCTATAAAAGGAACTGAATTACTCAGCATTGGAAGTTAATCTTTACTGCATTGGAAGTCAATATCTGCTTTACCAGTGCTATTTTTCTTCCTAAACTAACACTGTGAAGCTTTCTAAATATCTAACCACATGCAGAAGGTTGATTCTCTAAATCAAATTGAAATAATAGAAACAATTGTAATGTAATTAGAGGTAATTTATTTTTGTCTACTGTGTCATTTTTGCTATAAATCAACTGGGAAGAAAAAAGAAAAAAGAAACAATACTAATCCTATATAAAACAGGTCACTCAATGTGTATAAGATCACATGGACTGTGATTCTGAAAATAAGCCCCACTGAACTTAGTGTGGTTTATATATGGGATTGAATTGTTATATATGAGAAATCTGTTTACAATTTATTTTATAAGTTAGATTATAAAAAATAAAAAAGAAATACAAAGTCCTTGACTTACAACAGTTATTTAGCGACCATTCATAAAACAACAGCACTGAAAAAAGTAACTTATGAATGTTTTTCACATGACCATTGTAACATCCCCATGATCATATGATCAAAATCCAGACTATTGGCAACTGACTCATATTTATGACGGTTGCAGTGTCCCGGAGTCATGTAATCATCTTTTGCATCCTTCTGACAAGCGAAGTCAATGGGGAAGCCAGATTCACTTAACAATCATGTTACTAATTTACCAATTGCAGTGATTCGCTTATCAACTGTGGCAAGAAAGGTCATAAAATGGGGCAAAACTTACTTAACATCTGTCTCGCTTAGCAACAGAAATTTTGGACTCAATTATCCTCATAAGTCAAGGACTACCTGTACACCCAATAACAGCAAAATGTGTAATTAAAGTCAGTCAAATCATAGTTTCATGAGGTAATAGTACAAAGGATTTAGAGCAGGGGTGTCAAACTGCTGGGCCGCGGGCTGCTTGCATCACCCCTGCAAAACAAGTCGCGATACATCGTGACATGTCACATGATGCGGCGAGTTTGACACCTGTGATTTACAGGCTAAATATAGAATTTATTCATGGTTTGGGAGCTTTCTTCAATTTTATATCTACAATAAGATTGGGAAGACTGCAGGACAATGAAGTACACTTCCTCAAAGACAGCATTCCACATTGATTTATTTCAAAAAGTTTATATGCTGTTCTGAGCAGTTTACAGTCTTACTATACATAAACAGGATTCAAACAGCAGAAATGTCAATTTAGTAATAAAAGCATAAAATAAATATCTGTAATAATAATAATACATTATCAAATTAATGCTAATACAGTAGTAATCAGTAATACTCATAAAAGAGGAAGAATCTAAATCTCTATGTCTCCATCTAAAAAGCCCTATTGAAATATTCAAGTTTTTATAACTTTATTAAGTCTCAATAGCTTTGAGAAAGACAATCTACTGATAGAAAGTCATCCCAGAGATATCCAGGTTTGGAGCCATAAATATCTTTAAATATGACAACCAGGACTGTGAATTGCAGCTGAAAGTCACCTGGTAACTAAGGCAGCTCACAAAATAGTGTTATATGGCCAAAGTGAAATGTGTTCATAACTACATGAATCTGAGCCTCTGGATTCTGGACTAGCTGTTGTTTCCAAGTGGCTCACAAGAGTCATATGTAAAGTATATTGCAATAGTTCATATGACAGGTGAAGAAGAAGGTATAAATGATTCTGAGAAGTGCCTCCTGATGTAGGAAAGGTCTTATCTTCTGCATCAGGTGAAGTGGAGAAAGCCCCTTTTGATCCTCTAAATTATGAACCAATTAATAAGAGAAGGTGGGAGGACAAAACATTGCCTGGAATGAAAAATGGAATATACCTAGAGTTGGATAGCTTCAGAACTTAGGTTCTATAGCTTATGGATTAAACCTAAACATGTTCTTCCTTGTCTTACTCTCAATTACAAGGTTAAAAAACAGTAATGGTTGAATCTTCATTAACATTCATGTTTCACAGACATACTGATTGATAATAATGTTTACAAATATCAAGTATTTATTTATTATTAATTCTAAGTATTAAATAGATTGTGGGATTGTGATAAAAATAATTCAAGAAATTAGACATTATTTGTTACTCTTGGTCACAACAAGGACTGGGTACCTGACAGTCTAAACTGAAGGAGGATTGAAAGTATATGTTTGAGGCATTCTCTGCGAGTGTAATTTTACTAAAATGTCTCTATACTGGGTTCTTAAAGATTAACAGTTACATATTTCATCATCGTCAAAAGCTACATATAATCCATAACACTCTTAAGAGCCAATAGGAATAAAATGGAGATAAAGGACAATTTTTTTTGAAAGCGCTTTGAACTGTTTGAGGAGCACTTCATGAATCAAAGCTTCCCTCAGGTAATCCTCGCTTAACAACACAACCAAGACCAGCAATTCCACTGCTAAGCAAAGCAGACACTAAATGAGAAATCATGTGACCCTGCCTCTATTTTCTGGCTGTAAAGAGGCAAGATTATGCAGTTTCACATCTGCTTTTGTCTAACCACTCTTCCATCTTTGCAATGCAATGGTCTACCATTCTGAGGTGGTCTACCATTCTGAGGTGGATGAAAGCTGTAGAGAAAATCCTAAAATAGGATTGCCAGGCTTCAAGACAAAAGCAAGCCTTTATAAATCTCTGCAAGTTCCTGCCCTACTCACATGTGTGATGTTACCCTGCTCTTTTTGGAATGCCAGCTTTCTTTCCATTCACCATCAAAATTAAGC